ATGTGCCAATGTAACGTAGCCTTGTCTACAATGTCATTTAGGAGAGATATGTCTGTGTGAACTGTGAAGAAGCTACTGAGGTGCTGCTAAGAATTCACACACAATGGGGCAGAGCTCAGCCTTGGCCAGTAACCTGAGGGTTTATCCAGGATCTCTGGTGGATTTGCAGCTCGGTATAAAGACAAGGTTCCTTTGACTATGCTTCTGATATAGTTAATGCTTTCTTTCTAATATTAGGAATGTCTACACCAGCTGGAGTGCGAGCTATGGATGCTGCCTTGCAGAGAAAATGTGGAGCTTATTTCCACAAAAAAATCATGGAGGGCAATCTATCTTCAAAACTATATGTTTATATTAGGCAAATATGTGAAGGAAAAATGTGTCCACTCCTATTATGCATGAAGATACAGGTAGAAACTCCTGTCTCAAGAAATCTTTATGCTGCACATAAGGAAGCAGAAAGGATTTAGGAAGAAAACTGCTACTGTTGGTGTCCTATTTCTTTCCTAAGCATCTGCTATCAGGAAATCTTAGAGACGGAATACTGAGCTGGATGAATATCAGCCTGACCCAGCAGGGATCATTCTTATGTTCTATTTATTTATATAAGAAGGATGGGGAGGAAGTTATTAGCTCATTTTTACTTTGAATATGTTCCTTGGATTTTGAATGAGGCATAACTTTACCTAACATTATCATGGAGAAAGATACCTTGTCAAGAAGATGAAGAAAGGTTGTGAACTACCATGCTTCTTCACCCCACTCAAAAAGCTCAGGAGGCAAACACTTGTATCCTGTAGCTCTTGAACAGCACTGGCAAAACTACTTTCCAAACTTTGGAGGTTGAAAACTATCATATTTGAGAATGATTAGAGCCGTTTTGTCTTAGTCGTTAGAGAGAGACCGGCACAAGAGCCTGACAATCATAAAGAAATCTAGTTTATGGGTCTGACAGCTTAGGGTTGATCTGACAATTACAGATGCATACTGCATGGCAGCTGCAATGAATCAGGTTAGTAGAAGGGCTTTCTGCTCCCTAGAGCTTACATATTCCTGCCTTTCTCAAAAGAGGGGGTGGGGAAGTATAAAACCTACCAATGAGATAGGAGAAAGGGCCTGAAGCCAGACAAACCAAAACATTTAGAGATTCTGCTAACACTATGAAGATGAAAGGAATCCCTGAATAAAAAGGAGCCAGAGACATATTTAGCAGAGCTTCATTCCTAAACAGCCGATTGGATGTAGGCAGGAAGGTTTCCACGCACATCTGAGAAGTTGTTTTCCTTATAAAGTAATGGCTTGTGATGTTATGAGTAAAGAGGTTACTTTATTTCCAGTTTTCTATAGCAGTTGGGATAAGACTGCAGCTTCTGCCTTTCTTTACCAAAAAGTCTGGCATCAATGAAATGGCACATGGCCTCTGAGCTGGCATTCTTCAGGCCAGCTGAAGCCCATTGCATAGGCGTGGTGGCTGTACAGCTCCTGCTGCCATGGACTCCCAGGCACAGGATGTTTTCTGTCCATACAACAATCTGCACAAGTTGCTGAAAACCAAAGAACTTGACTTAAGGAACATGTAGCTAAGAGTTTCCACTGATACCTTGAAAGATGCTTGAAGTCAATAGGGAAGTTTCCAAAGTTCTTGAGAGTTTTGCAAGTATCACTATAAAGAGAGCAGGGAAGAATTTGAAAAAGAGAGGCAGATTTGTGTTTCCTGCTTGTTTTCCTTTCTCTGATCATACTCTAGACATGCTCCTGTGATGGAGATTGCAGAAGGGTTTAGCATGTACAAAAAGAAGTTCTCAGGGGAAGCCAAATGCAAAAACATAGTTGTTTTGGCTATGAATACAGTGAAAGAAATAGAACGATTGTGCTGTGGTGGTTTCCATATAAATGGGTGGGTTAAATACTGAAAGATAAGCAGCATAAAGTGATGATGGAAGTGGCCTCAGAGGGGAAGCTAAACTACTTTCAGGAATGGTGTTGTGTTCTTTTTCTTGGAGGGGAAAAAAAAAAAGTAGTGTGTATATATGTATTTGGGCTAAGCTGGTGTATGTCCATAGAGGAAGATTCAATTTGATCCCCAACATTTAGGCTTGGTTCTCAGAAGATGTGTTCTGTTCAGTTCTCTTTAGGTTCTTATTCCTGTCTCATAGAAAGTACATTCTCCCCCTCCCCCCTATCCCTCTGGCAATGACCTATGTTGCTGAGAAGAAAGGTGAAAAATACTAATGTATTTTTTCTCCCCCCCCCACCCCCGCCAATGTGTTTTTATGTATAGTAATAACTGTGTGATCATAGCTTGAGCATGGCATCACTAAAAACAACCCCACCTTATATTCTGTAATGTCCCTCGAGCCAGACTGACCTAACTTCCGTGCAGAGTTCACCTGTTTGCCTTTCTTCCTTCCTGCCCTGGGACCTTCCGTAACGTAACACCCCAGAGACTCAGCTTACTTCCATAAAATAACACTCCCAAGACGAGCTGCCGGCCGAGCGCTGGCTCTCCATTGTGTGCTGGAGGCATGTTTGTGTGGTGTCTCTATACTTTTGCTGTGCTATTCCTGTGTATCCATCACTACAGCTCAGTTAGTCTCTGGCCTTAATTCTCCCTTCTAGTCTGCATAACCCTCTCTCTGACACATAACCCTCATACGGCAGGACCCTCCAAACAACGGGTGTTTTCTCTTTTCACTGTATCAGCAACTACCTGCTCTGAATGACTCTGTGGCAGCCGTATCTTTTTTATGAGCACCCTGAAAGCTAGGAGTCCCACGTCTTTGGTCCCCATGACAGGCAAGGTTCTGTGTGTTCCCCACCCCAATATCTGTTCCTCACAGCAACCAAGGGGTTGCTGCTGCCATCACTGCCGCCACCACTAATTGGGATGCACACCAGGCTACATTTACAGGCACTGTGATGAAGCTCAACAGAGATACAAAGGTGCCCATAGTATCTGTGGGGACACTGCTGCTTATAATATCCACAGAGACCTCTTGTAGAAAACGGTTGCCTGTATTTCTAGGTATGCTGCGGTGTAGTGTGAAGGGTGTACGGGTTCTGCTGAAGAGTTGTTTACTTGGTTCTGTCATCTCTGTTATCATCTAGGGCATCATCACCATTAAGCTTTTTTGGGAGTGTGAACCTCTTCTCATTAAGGTGAAGAGTCTGCATTCTTTTGGATCTTTGTCCCAGAGTTGGTATTTCCAAGGAGAGGTAGTAGATGATGCTTCTGAAAACCTTGTATTATGTTTCCTGCAGTCTAGAAGGTAGTTGATGTTTGTATCAAAATTGGACGTGGTGCTGTGGTGAAAGGTTCTGCTGTGTGAAATTCTCCTTCCCTTTGACCTGAATTCACTGATCCGATACCAAACATTCTTTGTGAGGTATATAATTTGTCTCAGCTGTGGTTTTGAGAGTTGTTTGAAAACAAGGAATTTGGTTTTGGCTGTTCTTTAAGTGTCAGTTGGAGATACATAAAAAAGGATCTGCTTATATCCTCTCTTATAAGTTGCTTACCTGCTTATATCCTCCGTTGTAAGTTGCTTACCTTGGTGGGTATTTTCCTTTTTTTTTTTTTCTTTTCTTTTAATGTCTCATCTTTTGGGCCAATGCTGGAAGTGAAATAATAAATAGCTTTTGCATGGCTCATGTCCTAACACTTTTTAGCTTCCGTTTCTGACCCTCAAAGGCAGTTACATTCCTTAAAAGTTCCTTTCCTTAAAAGTTAAATTCCTTTTGGTCTTCAATCCATAATTCTGCCTATCTGCTATCTCTACTAGTGGCCTAATCCTTATAATCTCTACATCAGAAAAAGTGCCCCTGTGGTTGTATGGGAGATTTTCTTGCATTAAGACTACTCAATTAGGCAACAAACACTCTGTAATCTAACAGAGTAACATTTAACACTGTAACAAGACCCACAAAGCAAGCATCTCACTTGGATTCTTGCAACCTTCCTGGCTTGTGTGCGTAGAACAGTTTTGGATTTGTAATGGTTTAGTACTGGAGTTTAGAGATACTGATTTCTGGTCTTTAGTACAAATCTAACAACAAAATATTGTTGACAGTAAAAGGGCTGCTTCACTAGAATCAGCCTATCAAGAGAACAGCTGGCTACAGTTGTAAAAATCCAGTCCTGTGCTGAAAATAACTTGTACAGTGAGAAACCTTTCTTAATTCACTAAAAATATGTTCAATGGAAAAGCTAGATGGGGGTTATAAATTTAACAACTTTATTATGAACAAACTGAGATGAGTTTATGACAGTTCAGACCTATGGCCGTCAGTGGAGTAGTGCTAGGGTGAAGTTGGCCCACAGGTCCTAGGGTTTTGAAAATAAGCTGGCAGAGATACAGAATGGATTCTAACCCATTGCAATCCAGAGGGGGATCATAACAATCTTTGAACAGAACATTTTCATAACCTTCGAAGCCTTCACTGTGAACCCAACAAAACAGCAGGTACTTTATTCACCACCCTTAACCCTAGGGGCAATATTTAGCATACAAGCAAAACACTGGCCTTTGTAGCAAAATTCAGCAGCTGTTTAGCTTGCCAGAAAGATTGTCATTGGTTTTGTCAAAATCTTTAATGAAGACAAAGTGTTTCTTTATAGATGACTACTCTTCCAATTTACCTCTCTGCCTTTTAGTTTCAGGCCTCCATAGTAACATCTCTCTCATCTGAACACATGCTCCTCTGCCAGAGCGTGTCTATAGCAGGCACACTCCATCTCTCTGTATTTTAGCAACTCTCCTGAAGTTTTAAAGTGTTTATCTTACACAGCTGAAAGTCTCCTCCTGTTTCATGAGCTCTACACTGGAATGCAGTGGAAGAGACCCAGGGCCTGTGGCCACCCAGATTAGAGGTTTTTGTAAGAAGGTCCCTATATGGTTTTGTTAGAGACTTCGGCTCTGTCTCTGCTCCTTGTTTGGGAGGCTAGTGGGAGGAGAAGAGCAGAAGGGGCTATATAACCTCAGAGCTTTCAGATACAGAGTGCACCATCCCCGAGCAGCTATCCCCAGCCAAGCACTGTCAGGGTAAGTGGCACTGAACCAATAGTATGATTTACAGATTGTTGGAGGACTTCAATTAAATAATGTCAAATGAAAGCTATGCAGGAGCATGCACTGCTGTGCTGTAGTTTGCCTAAGCAAACTTACGTACTTTATTTAAACTGACTTGATAAAATGCTTGTGGCATACTGAGTTGCCTTTATTTTACAGCACTTCTGAGAGGAAAATAAAGGGTCTACCTAAAGATTTTGCTGATTCCACCAGCACTGCAGCAATAAAGACAATCTGTGTAATGCCATGGCTGGAATTATAGCTGTAGTAGTAATGTTTAAATGAACCCATATGATCCTGCAGTGTTAGTTCTGTACAGAACAGAGCTCCCGAAGGGGTGAATTTTACCCACTGTGTATTAAGGTTTCTCAGCAGGTTTGCTTCAGTGCTGTTAACTCAGTGTAAGGTGATGTGAGTGTTCTGGTGAATGCGACTGTAAGAAGAGCTGGAAGTATGCAGAATAGCAGGGTCTAACAGGATACAATGAGGATGCTTTTGTATTTTTACTTGTCTCCATGTATATGAAACTACTGTTCTCCAAAATGCCAAACATCTCATTAAGGAACAGGCTACACACAGTATTTCTTGTGGGGCTGGAGTTCTCTTAGCAGCTTGTTGTGGAGATTGATGAGGTGATTAGTTATCTTCACATACAAAGAGGGTAGAAGAAAAAGGCTAAACACCATATTAATTACTTGGGAGAAAAATTTCCTTTCTTCCACAGTGCTGAGTGACATTTGCTGCTGTAAGATGTTACTACTGCATGCCATGGCAGTCTTGAGCTGTAATTCACTGGCTGGTAGCAGAGCGCCCTGTCTGAAATTATTCAGCTTTGATTTTTCAACTTTTTGTGTTTTATTACTAAATATGGTTTTGATTTAGAGTCCACTAAGCTCAGAAATGTAGCCTTTGCTGCCCCCTTCTTTCCCCTCCCCCTAGTGATTTTTGGCATTGCATTAGCTGCATGGGTTTGAGCAAACCCCCTGACCTCGAACTCTGTTCCAAAAACAGATGGTTGAAAAGCCCATTTCCTAATTAGGAAATGGTTTGTCCAAACCAGTCTGTTCATTCATGTTAGATAACAATTGTGCTCCATTCAGTAAATGTTTGAATATAAAGAGCCTGTTTTCCCGGAATTTTAATTAATACAAAAATAGCAGCCTACTTTCCTTTTGTAATAACAATGATAAAATATCTGGAGTACATCAAGTTAGGATTTCCCTATCCTTGTCTTCTCCTGGGATCCATGCCCAAGCAGCCTGCAGGAGCGGGGCTGCAGCCATGTCTCATGGCTGCCTGGCTGGGGAGAGACAGAGGATCTCAAATAAAGGATTTGGGAGAACTGCCCGTGCTTGTTCCATCCAATGTAGTAGAGGCTAAACAGATTATGGGCTCCTTTGCTTGTTGGCCACGGCTCTCACTGACCCTATTCCCACTTTGTCCTGTGCTTCCAGTATTCCTGTGGCAGGTTTCAGATACTGTGTGCAGAGCCAGCTGGTCTGTGGATGACAGCTGTCTCCTTTAGCTGTTAGCACACTGTAGTTTGTTGAATTCTGCATGGAAGCCCAAGCTGAGCAGCCCAAGTGATTCCCTACCACACTATAAATTGTGAGCAAATAGTTATTCTGGAGTCCTGGTATTCAGTGCTTGTTTCTGTAATTGACTTCAACACAAAGCCTTCAAAGCATTTTTATTACCCATATTATCTTCATGCTGCCAGAGGAGGAAAACAGTTTCTTTTTACTGAGATAGGGAGCCAACATAAATTACTCTGCCACTCTACAAATGCATTTTATTAGCTCCTTTGAAATGATGATAAACCATACGCTATAGCCCATTTTTAAAACTCTGTCCTTGACTTCATCCTAAAGGTGGGTTATTTTTTTAGTAACCAGAGGAGTACTGGAAAAGACTTGCCTTTTTTTTTTTTTTAATTAGGAACATTTCTTCTCTTTTTAAAGGTTAAATCTAAACTCAATTGGCCTTCTTGACAGGGGTTAATATTTACAGCAGGAAAATACCACTGGTACATGCCTACTATTTAATGTGGTTCATCTTTTGGAAGCCCAGGCCTGGATGGGGAAGACTGAAGTGTTCTTACCTTTGACAGCTTTTCACATGTGTCAAGATTTTGTCATGGTGATAGAAAAGCGGGGGAAGTTGTGCTGAATCCAGCGCAAAGGCATCTTTGTTTTCACAGCTGTCAGACCAGTGTTCTCTTTTATCTCCCACCCACCCCCAGCCGTGGATTTCTGTGACCAAATTTAGATAAACATTTGCTGCTCCCTGCTCTGTCTGCCCATGCCACAGGACTAGAAGTCTCCTCTGGAATCCCCTGGATAATCTCTAGTGCATACAGCTCTCCGGCAGATGTGGTTGAAACCTCTCAGGCTTTCAGAAGGAAGTCTGTTCCCTCGTGTTGCCCTGCAGGCCTTGTGATTGCCAGACTGGTGCCATACCTCTCTTTGCTGGTGCTGGTTGCTTTCACACAGCATCTGTGTCTTCAGGGGTGGCTCTGCTACCTGAGAATGGGTTTGTTGTCAGGCTTTTTATTTTGTTTTTAATTCTTTCCTCGTGTTTTCGTAGGGCCGTTTTGTGTCGAGAAGGCCTGAGGACATTGACGTAGAAGATGTGTGAGGAAGAGGACAGCACTGCCCTTGTTTGTGACAATGGGTCTGGTCTCTGTAAAGCCGGCTTTGCTGGGGATGATGCTCCAAGAGCAGTTTTCCCTTCCATTGTGGGTCGTCCCAGGCACCAGGTGATGAACTGCTTTGGTTATTCCATACTGGGTTTGTAGAAGGCTTTGCCATCCTGTCCCAGGCCCTTTACCCCAGAGCCACCTTTTCCTGTATTTGCAACTAGCCCAGCCCTGGGCGATCCATGTAACGCAGACAAAATGAGTCCAGAACTGCACTCACCTGAGTGAAAGCAGGTCTCTTGTCTTGTGAGAACAGGAGTCCTTCTAAAATTTTTCATTCCCTTATATGCCCTCTTCTCCCTGTCCATTAATTTTGGATTACTTTGTAAGTAAAACTAGTTTTAAAAAAAACCACAAAAGCTCAACACAGAAATATCTGGAAATTCTGACTGCTCTAAAAGCTGGTGATAGTGATGTGTAGAAAACTAAAGGAGGAAGAAGTTTTCAGTGAGCTTCCTATTAACCTTCCTGAGTATTCATTTAGCTATATTACAAATGGACACCTGTCTAGGGTTCAGTTTCTTTAGCTTCAAGGTTTCCATTTAGGTATATGATGCATTTCAGTCAATTTAAATAGTTTTCAAACTACATGTATTGACTGAGCAGAGATTTTTTGAGCCAGATCATAATTAACATGAACTAGAGCAGCTTGGCTAGACCACAACAAACTAATTCTCCTAATTAGTAGATCCCACCGAATTGCTTCTATGCCATCTAAGGACCTGGTGAAATAGGAAGAGGTAAACTGCTTTTAAGATGCAGCACTTGATATATATACAGGAATTATATTTTAAGCTCTTCAGGGCAGAAGAAATGTGTGGCTAATTGAGGCATCTGGACATTAATATAATTGAAAAAAAATTTTCAAGTGCCAGGTTCTGTGGATAGTGTGACTAGTATTAATTGCTCAAAAGCAATCCGTACTGTCATAGTGGAAACAAATACAACAAATTTCTAGAACCTTTCTTTCCTGATCACGTATCACGGGTAGCACTAGTGCACTGAAGGAAGGATCATAACACTCTAAGTTGCAAATCCAGTTTGCTTCTTTCTAAGTCAGGGCAGTTAGAGATGCCAAGATTTGGAGTGTGTAATGACTAAGTTCTGATGAGAGTATTATGCACCCAAAGCATCCTACAATATGGTATTTTTCCTAGTATTTCTAACTTTAACATAGGCATTACTGTGTATCCACAGTAGGTTCCAGCTTCTGGTCCATGGACCATGTCTACAGGATCCATGAAAATACCTAATAAGAAGCCTGTGCCAGTAGATTTAAATTGTCTAGCTCTAATAGCAATATTGTAGTGTTCAAAAAGAAGGTTAAAAAAATGTTGTTTTGGGAAATATAAAGTGTGTATTGCTCCATCTTGACCCTTAGGTGGCACAACATCACTTTCTGTTTTTACTCCACTTTATTATAGTTTAGCAGACAGTTCATCCCTAAATAATAATGACCATTAAAATAACCCTATTTTTCCACTTTATCATGATGTATTTAACATTGTATTTGTGCTGTTTACTTAAACTGTAGTGGAAACATGAACTCCAGCAGTTTAAATGAACTAAACATTTAATTTTGGAAATTAAAAAGCAACAACTAATTCTCCAATCATTAATATTCATAAAGCATTCTGTAATTAGTATCACTGGAAACAGTGTTTATTTCACAGCTTATGTTCTATCTCCTTTGTGACACCTCTTCTTGAGAGACTAACTCCATTTGTGTTATTTTGTAGGGTGTGATGGTTGGTATGGGTCAAAAAGACAGCTACGTAGGTGACGAAGCTCAAAGCAAGAGAGGAATCCTGACCTTGAAATACCCCATAGAACATGGCATCATTACAAACTGGGACGACATGGAGAAGGTATTTCACCTTTGAAGAGTTGATGTGTATCATGGGTAAACAGAAATACTTGAATCAAATGTTTACAGAATACCCACTAAATTTTAGATGAAAACTAAAATCATGCTGTCAAGTATGGTTTGATGAGAAGGTTGTTAACCAAGGTTAACTTGCCTCTAAAGCTGACGTACATCAAAATAATTACTGAGAATTTTTTACTCTGGTATGATCTACATATCTTTGCATCAGCAAAGGAGGTGGAAGAAAGGGGGGAATATGAAAAGAAAGAAAAGGAATATACTCAATTTGCTACTCAGGAAATGGAATTTAAGAAAGTATCTGTTTCTGAAAAAGTGCAAAGCGTGAATGTAATTTTGATATGAAGGGCAGTTTACACACACACTTTTTAATGCTTGAAAGATTAGCAGCATTGCAGTACGATGCATCCATTTCAGAGCCCGTACATGGACGAAAGGCTTCCAGAACTATGCTTACAGTCAGAGTCTATATGGTTGATATGATTTCTAAGATGGTATTTCTGTTTCATATTATGTTGTGGAAATAGGGCTGTTTGGAACAGTGGGGACATCACAACACACTGCAAGTGTGTGGAGCCGCACATGACTTACTGACTCTCATAGCACTGTACGTTTTACTTGGAAAGACAGAAAAACATTTCAGATGCCGAACCCACTCTCTAATCAACCTCAGAAAAAACCTTTTGGCCTTTAGAAAGTCTCTGGTGCTTTTACTTCTTATTGGTGTATTAACATCCTCATTGCAGTCCACTTGACGTCAGATTTTATAGGTGGTAGGAATACGCCATGAGGAGGCAATTTGCCATCATGTCTTTATACAAATTCTACAAACCAAAAGGTGAAACTGTTTTCAAGAGACACATTACCTATTGAGTTCCACTCCATAGGTCTGCATATGTTCTAGAATTGTTCTGGAACTGTTTAATTTTCAATCATTATTGAAATAGTGTTGCTGGAACCAAGTCTGTCCTGCTCTGTCTCTTCTACTGTAAGAATAACATATTTATTCTCATTGACTTACGTGTCCCTAAAAGAAGTAATGTATTACTAGCAGGAATAACTGAGGATAGTGGTTTTCTTTTTCCAGTTCCTTTGGTAATCTCTATGAAGACATTACTAGGCTGTCTCTAGGGCTGTAAGCAGAGTTCTGGAGCACAGTACCTGTCTGGAAGTGCTTCTGAGCTGCTGGTTGATAGTGTTTCTTTTCTCTGGCTTCTCCCATTGTTTTCAGATTTGGCATCACTCTTTCTATAATGAGCTCCGTGTTGCACCTGAAGAACATCCAACTCTACTGACTGAAGCACCACTGAATCCCAAAGCCAATAGAGAGAAAATGACCCAGGTAAGTTCACAACGAAGCTATGGAATACTTCCAACTTTATGAATTCAATGGGATGTGAACGTCATCGTTTCAGTTAGTCATGCTGTCCAGTAGTCTCTTTCTGTTACTTATGGAAGATGGAAAGTGTATAGTGACTACCAACCATCAAGAAATGTGAAAATCTTGTCTTCTCCCTCTCTTTCAACTGATTAAAATCCCTAGTGTTAAAGCAATTATTTTAATTGCATTTCAGATAATGTTTGAGACTTTCAATGTGCCAGCCATGTATGTAGCTATTCAAGCCGTTCTGTCGCTCTATGCTTCTGGACGTACCACAGGTAGGTTTCTGGGGAGCATGGCATAGACATTTCAAATAGTTAAGTGTGTTGATGAGCACTTGGGAATGAATTATGTGTTATCTTCTTTTCAAAGGGATTGTGCTTGACTCTGGGGATGGTGTCACCCACAATGTGCCAATCTATGAAGGCTATGCCTTGCCACATGCCATCATGCGTCTGGACCTGGCTGGCCGTGACCTGACAGACTACCTCATGAAAATCCTGACAGAACGTGGCTACTCCTTTGTGACCACTGGTAAGGACAGGCTGCTGACTGAGGAAGTGGTTTCTAGTGGACTAGCAGTGGTTTGGCAGGTGGTTAGACATGGGAAGGAATCCAATAGGAAAGTCTCTGCAAGACTAGCAGAGGATTTGTTTAAAAAATGGGGGAGTGTGTTGGAGGAGGAAAGGGAACAACCTGTCAACATGTCTGTGTCCTTCTTGAATGCCATTCTAAAGACTGAGTCTTCTTGACAGCGGAACGTGAAATTGTCCGTGACATCAAGGAGAAGCTGTGTTACGTGGCCCTGGACTTTGAAAACGAGATGGCCACTGCTGCCTCTTCCTCCTCTCTGGAAAAAAGCTATGAGCTTCCTGATGGCCAGGTGATCACTATTGGAAATGAACGCTTCCGCTGCCCAGAGACCCTCTTTCAGCCATCTTTCATTGGTAGGTTGAATGGTTGTTCTGCCTTGATAAACTGCACATAAATATCAAGTCCCTATTTTCTTTTGACTGAGTCCTGTTGCTAATCCACTTGGTGTATACATGAGTAGTAGGTACTAGTTCCCACTGTATAATAATTGTTTAGAACAGCACTATTAATATGGTGGAACTTCATGTCAAACAATAAGGCAAAATGCTTTCCCAAAATAAACCCTGAATGTTTACTCCTGCCTTTTGGCATTGAGCCCATGCCACTTTGTACATTGTGCAGTTGACTACCATGAGAAGTATGGCTGCAAAGCCCCTTTTCTAAGCAGTGTGAGGATTGTAGTTTAAATGTGCTTGCGGGGAGTTTATGGCAGGTGAAAGCGCTGCTTCTGTTTTTCAAAAAGACTGCTCCAAATCCAGAATCCATGGTTCATCACATTTGCAGAGCAAAGCCAACAAATGCATGCTAATCAGCTGCCATGAAGGCAGACTTCCAACAAGGTCACACAGAAATACAGTGTCAGTTCTGCCAATCTGCAGAATTTTAGCTCAGAAATAGATGAAGTAGTTGCATACTTAGAGGTATTAGGACATATTTTGACTGTTCTGTCTCTGAGCTGGCTCAAGTAAAAAAAAAAAAAAAAAAGAAAAAATAAATAGTTAAAAAAAAACCCAACCCAAAAGTGATGATTCCAAGACCATATAAGGAATTCTTAGGACATTTGAGATTTCCTGCAAAAAGCCTAGTGGAAACTTTACTATTCCACACCCCCAGCTTTCTTTTTAAGGAGGAGTTGTTTTTGTAAGGGGGAGAGGAGGACTCTACACCAAGAAACTCCTAAGCAAATGATTTAGGCAGCTGCAGGATGACTTTTCAGATTTCCACAGCTCTGAAAACAGATGTTTTCTAGAGAGACACTGAAGTTCATGTTGTTAGTTCTCTGTTTAACACTTTTAAGTCTCTGTACAGAGTTGCTTCCTCGGTGTGCTTCTGTAATTTCCCTAGGCATGGAGTCTGCTGGCATTCATGAAACCACTTACAACAGCATCATGAAGTGCGATATAGACATCAGAAAGGATCTTTATGCCAACAACGTGCTGTCTGGAGGCACTACAATGTACCCTGGTATTGCAGACAGGATGCAGAAGGAAATAACTGCTCTGGCTCCTAGCACTATGAAGATCAAGGTATGGTGCAATTATGTGTATACTATTTGATCTGGCATGTACAAAGTCCTTAAAAATCTAATGAAGCATAGCAACACTTGATGAAGTAAGTGCTTTGTACATATTTTGAATCATGCCGGTACCTTCTAGACAATAATCACCACCTGGTAACTTTGCTGCTGGAAGAAGAGGGCCTTCTCTCTTTTCACGGTGAATTCTGCAAATTGCCACAACGTGGCCACAGAACAATAGTATGGACACAGCGGCATAAATTTTCCTCTGGGGCTATATGTGAGCTTCTCAACCTCTTTTGTCTGATGGAGACAGGAGAGAGGAAATGCTGGTTTTGTCCTTTTGTTCAGAGAAGAAAGTCTGTGACAAGCCATCTTCCTTCTGCTGCTTCAAATCTTCCGTTCATTGCATTGCAAACATTTTATCAGCTCTGCCAATAAGATCACTCCATTGGTCACTCATTTTTCCAAGCCCTCCTGGGCTATCATTATATGTTTCCAGAGCAATTACCTCCCCTTTTCTCATTTGCAGCGATGAATACACAAATATGCTAGTCGTACTGGGCAGACTGGCTCAGGCAGAAAAATTGAAGATTTAGACTCAGACTTAAGTAACAACTTTTTAACTTTACTGATTGCAGCAGTGGCTAACTGTAATGCCAGGGATGACACTAGCACACAGATACAGTGTCTTTGCTAATATCAAATATCACTGCTTTAACATTTCTGTATAACAAATGTATTTTACTCACAGTGGACAGTTGTACTCAATGCTTTTATTTCTCTAAATAGATCATTGCTCCTCCTGAACGTAAGTACTCCGTCTGGATTGGAGGTTCTATTCTTGCCTCCCTCTCTACTTTCCAGCAGATGTGGATCAGCAAACAGGAATATGATGAAGCTGGCCCATCCATTGTTCACCGCAAATGCTTTTAAATTGTTTTGTCTTTATGTCTCCTTAGTGTATTACTGTGAATGTATTCAGGAAAATACATTCTTATAATTTCATTCCATAAACTCTTCATCATAATGACTCTAGTTAATTGGATATAATGTATTTTTGGTGAATAAATTTCAAATATGCTATGAATTGCTGCTTCTGTTAAGAAACACAACCGAACCCATGCAATTGTGGAGGTACTATTACAGCTGGTTGGAAGCTCCATCTTGTGGCACGAATTTGTTACTACACTATAGTGGGCTTAGAATAAGCGGTACCTCCTGTTTAGCGATGCCAATGCTAGAAAGTGCTCAGCCATCAGGCTGCACGTTGTCAAAATTTAGCCTAAGTAAGCATTTCAGTCTACAAATAGAACTAGTCTTGATTTTTCCAGAGTTCTGGGCAGTACCAGAGGAACACAGCATGTGTTTGATATCTGGATGAGCGTGGGCACTCTGCTTTGTATCTAATCTATCCAGAAGTATTATCTATCCACATCACTTCTTAATTCATAGCTGTCATGCTGGAAAAGCTAATTTTTTAGAGTGTGTGTGAGTCCCAGAGGTGTATGATACGTACTACCATTTCTGTGTGTTTTCTTTAACGAAACAAAGCCTGTTCCTTTGGGACCCAATCTAAACACTAATATGAGATTGAATACATGAATTTTCAATCATATGCCCTCAGGATGAGTGCAGCCTATTATTATTTTTATTTTATGATTTCTGGCAAGGTCTAAAGAGTAATTAAGCTGGCTTAATACACTTTCTCTTCAAAACTGGTTTGCTTGTTGTTCTTTTTTTTGTGTTTTTTTTTTTTTTTTTTTTTTTTTTTTTTTTTGAGGGAGTGTTAATGTAATTAGAGTAGATAAAATAATTTAGTCAACTGATATTCAACTAGAAGTATATGCATAGAAGCTGAAGCCAGTAATACTGTCTTAAAAGTATATATATAAAGAATTCACTGAGACAGCCCTGGAAAACTATTTATTTTTGTTACCTAGTTTCCCATCTAAGCTCAATAGTTTACCTCACGTGCCTGTTACTCATTATCTTTCAAGCTGTAAGCTCTTTACAATAGCACCTGCTATTTACCTTGTCTGTGTAACCCCTGGGTTCCAGATCTTGTCCAGCTTCTGACTGGGAGCACATGTTCCAAACTTTATTGTACTAACCTTATTATTTAAAGTATAGGTCACTGATGGTCTTGGAACAGATACTAAATAAATTCTTTTTAGAACAAATAACTTTGTATGGTTCTTCCTTCTAACTCTATCTAGATCTTTTTGTCTATCTCTAGCTAGATCCAGGGTATCCCCTTCCAGATAAGAATTTGATTTCAAATAAAATTCTTTACTAGAGGGTTACTGAAGAAGACACATTTCTCCAAGGGACTTCGATGCATCTCTGCTATGCAAAGATGGGGTGAAGGTCACTTTCAGGTAAAGGACTTCTGTTTTCTGCTTAACAACTTAGCCGAAACTTGAGCTATACAAGGATGGAATGGGGAAAGTGAAGGAAAAAACACACCCAAAACAGGTGTAGTTGATTCTACTATGTATAATATAAATTCACTGAAGCAGTGAAGAGATGTGCAGAGCTGGAAGTCACAAAAAGCCATGCACTGTTAAAAAGTCCCTAATTTTCAGATGATGCTAACAAGTGACAAAAGAAACATTACTTATTTCAACATGGATACTGTTGTATGAAGTTCATTTATTGTTGTTTTATAGGTGAGATTTGTTTACAGATTCAGGGGTAATGCCACTGAACTCCATCTTGACAGAGCAATAAAACAACTCCAAAACAGGCCAGAGCAATAAATATCAAACCATTCAGTCTAAAATATATAAATATAAAAGTCATTTCTGAAAACATAGGAAAAACAAGAATCCATTTATCTGTTTTGGCCATCTGTGTAGTAACATCACTATCATCCATGTGTATCACCTCAGATCCAGCACAATTATCTTTATGTCTTTCCCGACCACGTGGGTACATGGCTGCAGAAGAAGTCAACCCATTAGTCACAGAAATCAGATTCAGTAAAATAGCACGAGGGCTATTGTTTCCTTTAAATTATCTGTGCCTGTCTATCCAACTTTGTACCTATCACTGTCCCTGTTCACAGGCAAACCTGATTGTTACAGGTATAGACTGCTGAATAAAGCAGGGACTACAACATGCAATCAGAAATAAGTTTCTAAAGAGGATATTGTTTAGTGCTTAGCCTGTGAAACAAATTCTAGTTCTATCCCATCCTTTATGTATCACAGCATGGGATACATGAAAGGGAGAAGGAAGGAATGTGCTGCATTACAACAGGTGCATAGGGAACAGCAGCAAGGAAAGAAGTTTTGGACAATGGAAGAAATAAGGCTTAGCCTACTCATAGCTGCACTTTTTAAGCAGCTGGGATGTTCTGTTGAGACACCACAGCTGGGGAGATGAACTGAATCTCCCCAATCTGATTCCGTTTAAAAACTAAAGACCTCACAAATTACACTTTTTTTTTTTTTTTTTTGGCTTTTGCTTCTTCTGGAAGCTGTTGAAAATGATGACTGACAGTAACTGCCTTTGGTTACCCACTATTTGAATGGCCATATGCAGCACGTATCTCATAGCTGTTATGGACAGCTTAAGTAAACTACTGCTGTCTACCTTGGTCAACAAAGTAAGGGTAATGAGTTATTTAAATAGGGGGGGAAAGTATAAAGAAATCTAATCTGAAGCACATATAATTTCTGATTGCAGTAGAACCATGGGCAAGAATTTGGGTAGTCAAAACCATGTTGTATTATATACTTACATTAAATAACCTAGGGTCTTTTGTATGTGGATGGAATCCCTTCTTTTTACAAGCAGAAACTTCTAGCATGCCAGCATTAGTAAGTCTGAAGATGCCAGTGCTGAAAAGCAAAAGATGAAATGACTGTTACACACTATCCCCATAATGCAAGTCCAAGGTTTCACATATAAGTTGCTTAGCTTAACAGAAGGACAACAGAATGGTTGTCAGTGACTTTTGATACACAGAAGCACAGGCTGGGTTGGATTCTTAAAGATATTTGAAATCAAGGAGAGCTATATTCCTGTAAAGAAGGGGATGATGAGGGAATGTCATGGTTTAGCCTCAGAAGTACTGGTGTTATTCCCACTAGGTATGTTAGGGAAGAAACCCATAGTATTGGTGTTATTCCCACTAGGTATGTTAGGCTAGTTCATACAGGAGCAGGTACGAACCATGATCATGGGTGTTCTGGATTGCATTTCACTCACTAAACTCTAGAGGGGGAACTTAAAAGAGCCTGTAAGCTAGCTGTGTAAATGACTAGTGGAGGTACACATCCTCCCTGCTCTTTTAGGTAATCAAGTAATACAAAGCACTAGAAAATGTACTGCTGTATATGTACGACTTAACACTTTGATTATTGAATAAAAATTTAGAAATCCCACCCTTCTGTAAAAGAACATTAATGCCTAATAACTACAGGACAGCACTTGATTAATTAATGTTACAAGCAGGAGGAACAGGTTAAGAATTGGTTACAGCGTATCAGCATAAAATATGGAAGAAGTTTGCAAGACCAGAGATTTGAAAAGGTATGCAGACATTGTGCTCAGGGTTACAACTTCTAGTGCTGTACACTTGCCACTCAACCTGTATTTACAGCTCTGCTACCTGAATGGACCGTATAGGAAGTTGAGCAACCAGAACGGGATTCACAGAAGTCATCTACAGAGGCAGAAGACTAGAAAGAAAGGCTGAAGAAATGCACAGTCTAAAAAATGGAGTTAGTCCTGGGGCCTTGAAACTCCAAGCACACCAAAGCAGGGTCACAAAATTGGGATTGGAAGGAACTTCTAGAAATTGCTTAGTCCAACCCCCCTGCTACAGCAGAATCACCTTGAGCAGGCTGCCCAGGACCATGTCCAGTCAGGTTTTGAATATCTCCAATGATGTAGACTTCACACCCTCTCTGGGCAACCTGTTCCATTATAACCTTCATATTAATTGTTACACAGTTCCATTTTTTCCCAGATGCTTAGTGTTTGTATTTTATGAAAAAGAAAAATAGGACCTTATTATGAAAACAGTGATCTTTATCCCTCTACTCTCTGAACTGCAATTTTCCTATCATCTTAGGCAAATTTGTCTAATCCCTCCACATCCTTCACAACACACAGGATGAAGACAGGTTCGTGGCAGGGCACTGGCAATGAGGTCTCCATAAGAGCAGCTCCTGTCATTACTGCTTGGTTGAACAGAGTATAAAAATAGATAAAATTTAAAACCTGGTGCTGCAAGGGAGGAGAGAGAAGCCAGAAACAGTACTATGCATATAGACTGACTGGAATGCAAGTCTAAACAACTTAGAGAATACAAAGTCATAATACAATGTTCCTGCCCTTCATCTCAGTTGACATGTGCTGTTTGCATTTGATCAAATTTTAAGATAAGAAGCAGGGAAAAATATTTAAATATTACTTAGAAAAATCAGAACTCACTCATTATGCTTTGGTGAACAAACAATTGCAATGGCCTCTGGCAACATTAGCTGATAAGAACAATGAGTATGAAGATCAACACTGGATAAGAATGCGGTTTGTGTTGGATGTGTCTACAAAGAGAAAGGGAAAACTCAACATCGTGAAATATTTCTTATAAATCAAGGACAACACGTATTCAAGAATGATACAATAATTCGTAACAGGTGAAAGCATCAGTACTTCCCCAGCTTGGCTTCTTAAGTTCCCATTAACCCAGATTCCACATTGGTAGTGTGGCTTTTCAGTATGAGGTTTATGGAGGGACATTCATGGCCAGATATACAAGCAATTTTCCAGTGATGAAGGGAAAAAGGTGGAATGAAGAAGCACAAGTCAAAAGGAAATGGCTTGATTGTCCAAAATCCCTGAGTGAAATCAACATAAAGTTTAAAAAAGACAATACCCTCCACCCAAAATTCTGAATACAGTAGAAAAATAAATGGCATTAGAAATTAATAATACCCCTAAATTGACACTGAAAAAGTTGCACTGGCAAAAGCAGGCCCTATGTGTCAACAGGATGCCTCAACTCATTGAGAAATACTCATCTCTGAAGAACATCAGTGCTCATTTACATCATTACAATTAGAATTAAGTAAG